AGAATTCAGCACCACCAAACCAGGTTTACAACAAATACTAAAGGAACTTCTCTAGTCAGGAAACACAAGAGAAGGAAAAGACCTACAAAAACAAACCCAAAACAATTAAGAAAATCATAATACTAATGTACATATCGATAATTACCTTAAATGTAAAAGGATTAAATGCTCCAATCAAAAGACACAGACAGGCTGAATGAATACAAAAACAAGACCCATATATATGCTGCCTACAAGAGACCCACTTCAGACCCAGGGACACATACAGACTGAAGGTGAGGGGATGGAAAAAGATATTCCATGAAAATGGAAATCAAAAGAAACCTGGAGTAGCAATTCTCTTATCAGACTAAACAGACTTTAAAATAAAGACTATTACAAGAGACAAAGAAGGACCCTACATAATGATCAAGGGATCAATCCAAGACAAAGATATAACAATTGTAAATATTTCTGCATCCAACACAGGAGCACCTCAACACATAAGGCAAATGCTAACAGCCATAAAAGGGGAAATCGACAGTTACACATTCATAGTAGGGGACTTGAACACCCCACTTTCACCAATGGACAGATCATCCAAAATGAAAATAAATAAGGAAACACATGCTTTAAATGATACATTAAACATGATGGACTTAATTGATATTTAGAGGACATTCCATCCAAAAACAACAGAATACACATTCTTCTCAAGTGCTCATGGAACATTCTCCAGGATAGATCAAATCTTGGGTCACAAATCAAGCCTTGGTAAATTTAAGGAAACTGAAATCATAGCAAGTATCTTTTCCAAACACAACACTATGAGACTAGATATCAATTCCAGGAAAACATCTGTAAAAAATACAGACACATGGAGACTAAACAATATGCTACTTATTAACCAAGAGATTACTAAAGAAATCAAAGAGGAAGTCAAAAATACCAAGAAACAAACGACAATGAAAAAATGACAACCCAAAACCTATGGGATGCAGCAAAAGCAGTTCTAAGAGGGAAGTTTATAGCAATACAATCCTACCTCAGGAAACAAGAAAAATCCAAAATAAATAATCTAACCTTACACCTAAAGCAATTAGAGAAAGAACAAAACAACCCCAAAGTTAGCAGAAGGAAAGAAATCATAAAAATCAGATCAGAAGTAAATGAGAAAGAAATGAAGGAAACAACAGCAAAGTTCCTAAATCCAAAAGTTGGTTCTTTGAGAATATAAACAAAATTGAAAAACCAGTAGCCAGACTCATCAAGAAAAAAAGGGAGAAGACTCAAGTCAACAGAATTAGAAATGAAAAAGGAGAAGTTACAACTGACGCTGCAGAAATACAAAGGATCATGAGAGATAACTACAAGCAACTCTATGCCAATAAAATGGACAACGTGAAAGAAATGGACAAATTCTTAGAAAAGCACAACCTTCCAATGGAACCAGGAAGAAATAGAAAATATAAATAGATCAATCACAAGCAGTGAAATGGAAACTGGGATTAAAAATTTACCAACAAAAAAAAGAACAGGTCCAGAGACTTCACAGGCAAATTCTATCAAACATTGAGAAAAGAGTTAACACCTATCCTTCTCAAACTCTTCCAAAATATAGCAGAGGGAGGAACACCCCAAACTCATCTATGAGGCCACCATCACCCTGACACCAAAACGGGACAAAGATGTCACTAAAAAGAAAACTACAAGCCAATATCACTGATGAATATAGATGTAAATATCCTCAACAAAATACTAGCAACTAGAATCCAACAGCAAAAGGATCATAAAAGAAAACTACAAGCCAATATCACTGATGAATATAGATGTAAATATCCTCAACAAAATACTAGCAACTAGAATCCAACAGCACACTGAAAGGATCATACACCATGATCAAGTGGGGTTTATCCCAGGAATGCAAGGATTCTTCATTATGCAAATCAATCGTGATACACCATATTAATACACTAAAGGAGAACAACCATGTGATCATCTCTGTAGGTGGAGAAAAAGCTTTTGACAAAAATCAACACCTATTTATGATAAAAACTCTCCAGAAAGTAGGCAGAGAGGGAACCTACCTCAACATAATACAGGCCATATATGACAATCCCACAGCCAACATTGTTCTCAATTGTGAAAAATTGAAACCACTTCCTCTAAAATCAGGAACAGGATAAGGTTGCCCATTCTTACCTCTATTATTCAACTAGCTTTGGAAGTTTTAGCCACAGCAATCAGAGAAGAAAAAGAAAAAAAAGGAATCCAAATCATAAAAGAAGAAGTAAAATTGTCACTGTTTGCAGATGACATGATACTATACATAGAGAATCCTAAAGATGTTACCAGAAAACTACTAGAGCTAATCAATGAATTTGGTAAAGTAGCGGGATACAAAATTAACGCACAGAAATCTCTCGCATCCCTATACACTAATGATGAAAAATCTGACAGAGAAATTAAGGAAACACTCCCATTTACCACTGCAACAAAAGGAATAAAATACCTAGGAATAAACCTACCTAAGGAGACCAAAGACCTGTATGCAGAAAACTATAAGACACTGATGAAAGAAATTAAAGACGATACTAACAGATGGAGAGATATACCATGTTCTTGGAATGGAAGAATCAACATTGTGAAAATGACTATACTACACAAAGCAATCTACAGATTCATTGCAATCCCTATCAAATTAGCAATGGCATTTTTCACAGAACTAGAACAAAAAAATTTCACAATTTGTATGGAAACACAAAAAACTCTGAATAGCCAAAGCAATCTTGAGAAAGAAAAACAGACCTGGTGGAATCAGGTTTCCTGACTTCAGACTATACTACAAAGCTACAGGTATCAAGACAGAATGGTACTGGCACAAAAACAGAAATATAGATCAATGGAACAGGATAGAAATCCCAGAGATAAACCTACACACATATGGTACCTTATCTTTGATAAAGGAGGCAAGAATATACAATGGACAAAAGACAGCCTCTTCAATAACTGGTGTTGGGAAAACCGTAAAAGAATGAAATTAGAACGCTCCCTAACACGGATACAAAAATAAAGTCAAAATGGATTAAAGACCTAAATGTAAGGCCAGACACTATAAAACTCCTAGAGGATTCCATAGGTAGAACACTGTGCGACATAAATCACAGCAAGATTCGTTTTGACCTGCCTCCTAGAGAAATTGAAATAAAGACAAAAATAAACAAATGAGACCTAATGAAACTTAAAAGTTTTTGCACAGCAAAGGAAACCATAAACAAGATGAAAAGACAACCCTCAGAATGGGAGAAAATATTTGCAAATGAAGCAACTGACAAAGGATTAATCTCCAAAATATATAAGGAGCTCATGCAGCTCAATATCAAAAAGCAAACAAGCCAATCCAAAAGTGGGCAGAAGACCTAAATAGACATTTCTCCAAAGAAGATATACAGACTGTCAACAAACACATGAAAGGATGCTCAAGATCACTAATCATTAGAGAAATGCAAATCAAAACTACAATGAGGTATCACCTCACACCGGTCAGAATGGTCATCATCAAAAAATCTACAAACAATAAATGCTGGAGAGGGTGTGGATAAAAGGGTACCCTCTTGCACTGTTGGTAGGAATGTAAATTGATACAGCCACTATGGAGAACAGTATGGAGGTTCCTTAAAGAACTAAAAATAGAACTACCATATGATCCAGCAATCCCACTACTGGGTATATACCCTGAGAATACCATAATTCAAAGAGAGACATGTACCACGATGTTCATTGCAGCACTGTTTACAACAGCCAGGACATGGAAGCAACTTAAGTGTCCATCAACATACAAATGGATAAAGAAGATGTGGTACATATATACAATGGAATATTACTCATCCATAAAAAGAAACAAAATTGAACTATTTGTAGTGAGGTGGATGGACTGATAGTCTGTCATACAGAGTGAAGTAAGCCAGAAAGAGAAAAACAAGTACCGTATGCTAATACATATATCTGGAATAAAAAAAAAAAGAACAAAAAAACATGGTTCTGATGAACCTAGGGGCAGGACAGGAATAAAGACACAGACGTAGAGAATGGACTTGAGGACATGGAGAGGGGGAAGGGTAAGCTGGGACGAAGTGAGAGAGTAGCATTGTCATATATACACTACGAAATGTAAAATAGCTAGCTAGTGGGAGCCAGCTGCATAGCACAGGGAGATCAGCTCTGTGCTTTGGGACCACCTAGGGGGGTGGGATAGGGAGGGTGGGGTGAGATGCAAGTGGGAAGGTATATGATGATATATGTATACATACAGCTGATTCACTTTGTTATACAGCAGAAACTAACACAACATTGTAAAGCAATTTTACTCCAATAAAGATGCTTAAAAAAAAGAAAAAGCTGGTTTGTTACAAGCAAATCACATTTGTGCTCAGGACTCTAATATTAAATGGGCATTCGTGTGTCTGTGAGAGTGTGTCTGTGTGTGTGTGTGTATGCCCGTGTGTTTTGGTTTGGTTTTACAGTTCTTGGCTAGAGCCTCCTCCACACTGTCAGCTCTTCTGATCCAAACTGTAATCCAGGTCATCAAGGGAATTCTTCAGCCAGTGCTCCAACCCTCAACCGCCTTCCTTTCCTAACTTTGACTGACCGTGAGTGTAGTATAATGAGAGTGAGCATGGTGAGAAAAGTCCCTGGATTAGAAGTCGCAAAATATGATTCATTTTCCAGTCCTGGTTCTGTTTTAGCAGAAGTGACCGTCACTTGTAAACTGCTCTCAATTCCAACAAGTCATTTCATCTTTCTGACAATTTGTAATTTATTGTTTTCTCCCTTTGATAACAGAGCAACATGAATATTTACCCTTTTGTCATATCAAGAAGAGTTAGGTTTCTATAAAGGTAGACCAGTCCCCAACACTTTATGGAGCTTCTGATCTCCAAGGGACAGAGTGCTTCCAAGACTCTGAAGACCCCCACCCTCACCACCATATCTTCAAAGAAGAGGGTCTGCCGTTTACTCACGGAGCTGCTCCAGGTGGCCAGCGCTGTTAGACTCGGGCATGGCAGTGATGGTCACCAATGGACATGAATTCCCTCCTAGCGTCTGGCAGAGAACCTCCTGACGGAAGTAGACCTGCTTGGGGTTCACGCTTTTTTCCAGAACGTCAAGGTGAGTCTGGAGCAGAGATGAAACAGAAGTGTATATTAAGATTTTTGATAATAACAATAGGTGAAAGCAGCAACAAAGCTTATATTCATCTAACTCCTTATAGTTTAGAAGTACTTTTTTTTTTTTTTTTTTTGCGGCACGTGGGCCTCTCACTGTTGCGCCCTCTCCCGTTGCGGAGCACAGGCTCTGGATGCACAGGCTCAGCGGCCATGGCTCACGGGCGCAGCCGCTCCGTGGCATGTGGGATCTTCCCGGACCGGGGCACGAACCCGTGTCCCCTGCATCGGCAGGCGGACTCTCAACCACTGCGCCACCAGGGAAGCCCCTAGAAGTATTTTTGTTAACCTAATCTGCCTGACCGTGGGCATTAAGTGATTTAAAAGGGGTGCTCTTCCTACTCCCCGGAAGAAGTTCAGTGAGGCTGAACAGGAAGCATCATGCCTGCCTGTGTCTGCACAGTAGAATATCTGTTTTCAAGTCGCACTGAAAGCAAAAGAGCAGGGGAAGACAACATTCTTCCCATGACAGTTGCATGTGAAGAATGCTGTTACCATGAAGACAGAGTACATGCAGGACACTCGGGAACATGAGACAGAGCTTCAGCAGGGCAGATTACTTTAGAATCAAGCAATATAAGGAGAGTTGGGAGCATATTGAAGGAAAATAGAAAGCAACTGATCCAGGGAGAATGCCAAGCAAAGAGAACCACTAACTGGGAGCAATTGATTTTCCCTACCCTACATTCCCATTTAAACACTCATTTAAAATGCAGAAAGATACCAAAATGGGGTAACCATTGAAAATAGGGTTCTTGGTCAACAACCTTTAAGACCTCTGAAGATACTTTCAATAACCCAAACAGTGGAATTAGTCATAAAGATGTTAAGAGACTGCCTCCCAACCACACTGCATACCCTAACAACAGGGACACAGTGACTTCAGTAACCAGTGAAAGGGAAGCGGTCCTTCTCCAACACAAGAACGTCAGTGCACACAATCGTCCTTCCAGCTAAAGATCAAATAGGTATTAACACATTCAAACAGGTATTAAGAGGGCCGAGGAAAAACTGCCCACCTTGTTGTTTAACAAATAACATGTCTGCTAGACAAATGAAACAAACATGACTCCTATGAAAATATTTATAAAAGATTCATAATATATCTTATGAAAAATGGAGTAATGCCTTCAAAAGGTAGAGGAAGTGTGTACATGTGAAAAAGATTTACTACAGAGGTGCTAGGCAGAATAATGGCTCCCCCAAAGATGTCCATGCCCTAATCTTCAGACCCTGTCAATATGTTACCTTACATGGCAAAAGGGACTTCACAGATATGTTTAAGACTGAGGTCTATTTGAGGTGGGGGGATTATCCTGCATTAACCAGTTGGGGCCAATCTAATCAGAAGTACTTAAAAGCAGAGAACATTCCCCAGCCACAAAGGACCAGAACCACATGCAAAGGACTCAGCCTGCCATGATGGGGGGTAAAGGGGTAAAAAGTTGAGGAATGTGGTGTCCTCCAAAAGCTGGAAAAGGCAAGGAAATAGATTCTCCTCCCATCCCCCAGAAGGAACACAGCCCCAGTACCTTGATTTTTGCCCAGTGATTTTTATCCATGTTGAACTTCTCACCAAAAGAGCTGTAAGTTAATTTTTTTAATTGTTTAAGCTACCAAATTTGTGATAATTTGTTACCACAGCAATAGAAAACCAATACACTGGGAGATAAGAGAAAGAATTTCCTAAGTTAAGTAAAAATCTTAGCATCTGGGTAGGAAGAGACTAAAATCTACTTGTACTCTATGGAAACATTTGACTTACAAGGAAAACGAAAAAGTTCCAAGGAAAGAAAAGATTACCAGATGATTCTGTGGCCTCTCCTATAGCTTCAGGGATATCTGAAGATTTGACCCTGGATCATATCCTCCTTACAACTGAGACCCCAAATCATCTGCCTCCACACAGCCTGTTTCCTAGATTAATATGAATTTATTATTCCCTGTCTGCATCAACATAATTTTAATGTCCTAGGAAACTCTTGCCCAGGAAAATAGAAATTACAAATAAATTTATTTTTCATAAATTTATTATTTTTCAGGAACATCTCATCAACTCAATAGAAGGTATCAATGACTTGATCCAAGACCCTTTGAACCCCTCTCCTCAAGATTCTTGCCTTACAGTGTCCACCAATCTTTAACCATTATATCATGATCTTTACCCAATGCTAATCAAGCCCCTACATTAAAATACCTGACCTTAACAAAACTTTAAAGTCTTAATAAAATACTCCAGCTTTGCCTTTCCCCCTCTGAGACACTATCAAGACTCTGTCACATTCTCCCTTATCAAATATATTAGTTTCCTATCACTTTTCTAACAAATTACCACAAATTTGGTGGATGAAGACAACACGAGTTTATTGTATTACAGTTCCAGAGGTCAAAAGTGCAAAATGGGTTTTACTGTGCAAAAATCAAGGTCTTGGCAGGACTGCACTGCTTCTGGAGGCTCTATAAGGTAATTCATTTCCTTGCCTTTTCCAGCTTCTGGAGGTCAGCTGCTTTACTTATCCCATGGTGTCTTCCTCCACATTCAAAGCCAGCAATCCCATCATTCCTACCCTGGCTTCCATGGTCAAATCTCCTTCTCTGACTCTGACTCTTTTGTCTCACTCGTTCATGGCTAAGGACCCTTATGATTACATTGGACCCAGTCTAATAGTTCAACATAATCTCCCCATCTCAAGAGGCTTAACTTAATCACATCTGCAAAGTCCTTTGTGCCACATAAAGTAACATCCTCACAGGTTCCAGGGATTAGAATATGAACATCTTAGGGTGGGCAGTGGGCATTATTCTATCTAACACACCAAGGTACGCAACACACTTAGGTCTGTGTTAGAAACAGGTTGTTCTGGTGGTTATTTCTTGGAGCCAGCATTTGACACAATACTAAGAAAAGGAATTAGAAGGATCACGGCTACCCCAAGTTCAAGATGAGATTCAGCTAAGGCCCATTTTTCTGACCAAACCTTTGTACTTCAGTCTTCTGATTGTTTGTCAAGTGCTAATGAATGCCACGCATTGTTGTGATGCACCAGCACTAGAGATTAGGTGGTAGTCTCACACCCCTGAGGAGACAAGGAGGCTAACTAATGGTATACACACAAACACAAAGGCCCTGCTCAGAGTTTGAAAGTACAGAGGATTACAATCGAGTAAACCTATAACCAGCCAAAGTTTTGCTCATGAGTTTCTGCTCATACATGCTCAGTTAGGCAAGAGCTCAGAAAACGTATCATCCTTATCTTTATTGACAATAATAACTTGAAGACAAATTTCAGCTGCCCCAAATCAAACTAAAGAATGAGATCAAAGGACAGTTCAGTTAAACAAGTTTTGTCTAAATGACTATTGGAAAACACAGTTACGACATAATACAAACATAAAAACTAATTTTTTAGGGAGAAAACACATATTATCAAATGTTAATCTCATCATCTGGTTCTAAAACGAAAGTAAAAAGAAATGTGTAAGTAAGGAATAAAGTAAAACAAAATACTAACTTTTCAACTTACATGAACATAATATTATTTAATTCTGGAAAATGGAAAGGCAGAATAGCAAGATGACTAGGAGGGCAGGCTCTTGAGTCAGGCTGCCTGGGTTCCAAGTTTGGTTGTGGATCCTAGAAGAGTCGTGTGAATTCTGTACTTAACCTCTTTGTAACTCAGTTTTCTCATCTTTAAAATGTATATAAAATGGCATTACCTATGTCATTCAATGATTGCTATAATTTAGTGGTTTACTGTGTATGAGAAGTGCCTGTCATAGAGGAAACACTCAATTTTAGCTGTTATTTTTGATGAGGAAATGTAGGTTCAAATTTTTTTTAAGAATTAAAAGGGAAACACTATTAGAATTATAAACACTGTAGGAAAAAAAAAATCAAAGAAAATATGGTCACTCCATGTTGCATAAAAGAGAAAGAAAGAAAGAGAGAAAGAAAGGGAAGGAAGGAAGGAAGGAAAGAAGGGAGGGATGGGGGAAGGGGGAGAGTAAAAAAGAAAGAAAAGCAGTCAAGCATGGAACATAGCACAAAACCAAAACGACAGAAGTAACACCAAAAATTGTCTTGCCTATAAATAGGTTAAACAGCCTTATTAAATGACAAAAACTTTCAGATTAGTTTTTTCAAAATCCCACTGCCTATTGTATATAAAAGGAACTTTCAAAGAGAATTTTAAAAAGACCCATGATGTGTACGAAAAACACTCCTAAATTATCTTCTTGTTCTGTTTGCCTCCACTAAAATATTTTAAAAGAGAAATATTGAAACTAAGTAGTTAAGCAAACAAATTAAAGCAGGCCTGGCAATAGTGATATATGACAAAGTCATATTCAAGACCACGTGCATTAAATGGGATTTAAAAATCTTATTTTGATAAAGGGCACAATTCACAACGAACATAAAAAACTCATAAATCCTAAGAATCAAATAACACAGAATTAAAATGTACAGCACAAAAATGGCAGAAAGGGAAATAATTGTACTAAGAGTGGGAGGCTTAAAACAGTACCTCAGTCTTGAATAAATCAATTGCAAAAAAATGATATAGAGTATTTGAACAACATTGTTTTTTATAGATATATGTCAAGCTGTCTTTACAGAGAGCATCCTTTATTTTTTTCTCAAACATTCAGGGAACTATAACAAAAATTAATCATATACAGGACTATAAAAAATATTCACCAAAATTTTTTTTTAAATCAGATATTATACAAGCCACATTTTCTGACAATAATTGAATGAAATTAGACTTAAGTAAAAATGGTTTTAAAAACAGGAAAAATAAAACCATTAAGGAATAGAAAAACATCCTCCTAAAAGAAGCTCATGAAAGAAATTCATATATTAGAAAGAAAATAAATATTAAATCAGTGTAATTAAAGCGCTAATAGAAGAAGTGTCCATATGGCATCCCAGGAGAGAAGGCACAGGAC